GCTACTTGCGGTACAGGGTGGTTATAATGGCTTGATGTAGGGCTTATGATATGGTATTGGTAATCAGGTCATAGAGTTGGGGAGGCTTGGCAGGTTCCAGGCAGGTAATCGTTTACGTAGGGTTTAGCGTTTAGGGCTTAGTGTTTAGGGTAAAACCTGCCAAGCTACAGCAGGCATGATCCGATTATCAGTCCTCGAAGCAGCTTGCCTTTCTCAGAAATGCGGCAATACAAGTTCACATACAGCGGTAGGGGATAAACCTTTGCCGATATTATTTTGGGGTCTACACGAGGTACTTTCTGAAACACATAATGCCACGGATACGAGGAACCTAGGACAATAGATTTGCTAGTTCTACTCCATAAACACTGCCGCAATCCCAGCTTCCATTTGGTTTTCCTTGTTATCTTCTATAGGATTCGCCGCTATTGCAGAAACATCCCTTCAGCACGGATGAACCTAGAACCTTGAAGCCTAAACCCTAAAACCCCAAAACCCTAAACCCCAAACCCCATCTAGAAGCACGATCTTGTGATTTATTCACACCCGTTCAGTAGGCCATGAAGCAAACAGAATCAGAACATGGGCAGGGCAGCAACTATCAGGGAGTTGTCCTTTGTACCCTTAGGGTTTGTACCTTTGAGTTTGGGTCCCTAAACCATGGGCCTTAAGAAGGATATTTGGGGACCCAAGACCTCTGGTTACAAACATTAAGGGTACAAACTCAAAGTCCTTAAAACTACATGCATAAGGGTTTAGGGTCGGTGGATCCACCCCACAGAACCCTTGTGCAATGTGAGGGTTTTCGAAATCAACCCTAGAGAAGCCTGAAGAATCCCCACACGCGTCGAAGAGAAACTCCATTTTGGCGACATCTGACACCCTGAAAGCCAAAACATATTCGGGGTTGCTGTTAAGGAACTTGAATTAAGTTACTATAATAAAGAAACCCTATTATTTACTACATACTCCAATGTGCCGTTGTCCAAACTCCTAATATCGCCCTAATAGCCCCGATAGTCATACCCTATGTTAATCCTCTGTATAACTGCCTTTAAGGAGTTAAGACTGTAGCGCATCTTATGGCAGCCCCGTATTCCCTTCAGCGCTTCCAAGGCACTCGAGCGTCGTCAAGAACTTCACGTTGTCCTAGGCCCTAAACCCCACCCTAAAGACTTAAGCCCTAAACCCGAAGCCCTACACCCCAAACCCTATACCCTAAAACCCTAAGCCCTAAAGCCCTAAACCCTAAAACTTGCACCCTGAACCCCAAAACCCTAAAACCCTAAGCCCCAAACTCTAAACCCTACACCCTAAACCCCAGGCAAGGTAATTCTAAAAGGGATTACTCTCAACCAAACTACCATGCGATTCTGCGTAGACCCTTGTCAAAAGAATTTCGTCTTTATAGGGCACATGCTAGGGGCTGCATGATAGTTTGGGGCCGGGTAGGTAGTTTTTAGGTATCCAGGAGTCTATACATCTTCTGGGGTGGTTACATGTGAAGATTGGGGTGTAGGGTTCAGGGTTGAATCTGTTTGCCTTCAATAGGGTTTTGGTGTATGCATATTTTGTGGAAACATGAAGGTGGGTCCTATCTTGCGTAAACCGCAAATGTCTACCTCCTACCATTTGAGGTTTCTTTCAAACCATAGAACCTAAACTCTAAAGAGCCTGCATGCCATTTCCAGTCACAACTGACAATGGCTCACGGTTCTTGGCCATAATCGGCTATTTGCCATACAGGATACCCCGGCAACTATGAAGCCTGCTAAAAGTTGAGGTGGATCAGTTGAGCCCATTAGCCCCAAACCCTTAACCTTTCCTTGGGGTTTAGGATTTGGGTTCCCTCCGGAACAACATCTAGTCATCATTAACCGCACCGGGAACGTGCCAGCATGGACTGTACAGGTTTGAGCGCACACGACCTATTGGTGGAGTAGAGCAGTACTAAGTAAGCAGCAGTACAAGTACGACATGCAGACATCTCAAATGGCCTGAACGTTCTGTTGTCAAGCATGTTTTGCACGCGCGCATGTCTGATTGCTCAAGTGATGTGACAGCTTTTGTCTTCGAATCCTGAAGTCAGCCCTGCTAAATATCCTCAATGCTTTGAACCAGAGAACACCGGCTCTGAGTACAGGTATTGGCAGAGCTGACAGAAACAGTCGTGTAAGTCATGCATGACACCAGCTGTCCACATTAATCCTCAAGTATATACAGTCATGCAAGACGACTCTTGGCAGTAATCCTGTTACAAAATGGCATCAGTCTGGGGCAACGCACATCCCAAAATGCAAAACTACACCCCTAAGCAACATTGACCAACACTGCGACGTAACACAGGCACCTTCAAAGGAGCACCACGAAACCTTGCAGAACAAACACGGCGCCTGAAGTCTGAATCGTCAATCATTCCTTCCTCCCCATAACCTCCCCCCAAACTTCGTAATCATAGCCTTCTTTGCAACGGTGAATGAGGCAACTCCACACAGGCGGATGATTCCACACAAACGGCGGTTTCCAAACATCAGGGGCCCCTGTTGGATAGGATTATAATGAATATGTTGGGGTGTGTGTTGGGGGTGCCCCTATGTATGGAAACTGCCAAGCGTCATGAGAAAGACCACAGAACCCTAAAGCCCAAACCCTATGAAACTTGCGGATCCTTCGCCACAACATGCATCTGCTGGAGCGATCCGAACTGGTCCTCGTCAGTGCACGGAGGGTCCCACCGGGTGGAGAGGAGAGATAGATGAGGTCCGAGTGTTTCGTTCCAGGGTTCTAACTGCTTCGGGATTTAGACTCAAGGGGGCTTCACGCGTAGGCTTCTCAAGGTTTGGGGCAGGAATTGAAGGCTCCAGGCTTATAACTTCTGAGGGATTTTGAGTGGAGAGTTTAGCTTCAGGACTAGTCGGGCTTCATGTTGGGCTGTTTGATCTTAAAGGGTTTAAGCTGTAAGGCGTTGTATAGAGGATTTGCTGAAGTACGCGTTCTGGTTCTGAAATCTTACGATGATCATTGCAATCACGTTATTATGAACCTGAAGGTGGGTAATCTAATTTAGCATAACCTAGACTTTCTTCATGAATACAACGAATAACGTCTAAGCGCCGCTTTACTAAGCAGTCGTTTATTCGGCAACCAAGTCTCTCTGTAATGACTGCTACTGACATTGCGTAAACCCTAAGCCCTAAAACCCCAAAGCCTACGGACATATGAGCTATAGCTAAAATCCTAGTAATTATACTCCCCTATATCACCCCCTCTAAGAAGTTTGGACTATAGCTCACATGATAGGCTGTTCAGGTGTGGGGACTTTTTGGGTCCCTAGTATCATATGGCTCTCCGTATTGATAGGGTAACCCTAAACCCTACACCTCAACCCTGCATCCTAAATCTTAAACCCTGAACGCTAAACCTTAACCCTAAATCCTTAACCTTAAACCCTAAACCCTAAACCTCAACCCTGCATCCTAAATTCTAAACCCTGAACGCTAAACCTGAACCCTAAATCCTTAACCCTAAACCCTGAACCCTCTAAGAGCTGTAAATGATTCTTTGGCCGACCCCTAGTATCAAGGGGAGTTCCAACTGTAGTTATCAAGCGGGTATAGTCCCATGACTCTTATACGAGCCTTATATGAGCATTAACTTGGGGTACCCACCCGGCAACTACCCACCTGGGGGGTGTCCTTGACATTATTCCTGATCATTCCTTTGCACTGCATACAGGCGAAGACCATGTCGCCATGGGCCTCCAACCTAGTCTTCATTCCTGATAAAACACGTAAACCCCCAAATCAGAGGCCCCAAACCCTAATCAGAAAGCCCTACGGCCTTACGCCCGACTCCCAAATCCTAATCCCCGAGCCCCAAACCCTAAATCCCAAACCCTAAACCCTAAACCCTAATCCCAAAGCCCTCACCGCTCGAGCTGCACACGCCTAGTCCTAGGGGCATGCTGGGGTTATGCGGTTTAGGGTTTAGTGTTTAGGGTAAATCCCAAATATCCTACGCCAAAAACCCAGATTAAACACAACAATCTCCAAACCCGAAATCAAGTATCCTGAACCTTAAGCACTAAACCGGAAAACCTTGAACAAAATCTGCAAACACTGAGCCCAAAACCCTAAGCCCTAAGCCCTAAACCCTAAATCCTAAATCCTAAATCCCAACTCCTAAACCCTAAACCCTAACTCCCACACCCTAAACCCTAAACTGGGTTGCTGGTAAGGAGTTTAAATTCAGGTAGCCTAGTGAGGCTTATTATTTGCTATATACCCATAATATGGTAACCTAGAGTAAGTTTTTACAGCAACCCAGTAAGTAAATGCCTAAACAAGAATCTTTGAAACCCTAAACCCCAAACCCTGCCAACTTGAAGCCTGAGCCGTTGTTAGCTGTAAGAGGAACCTTGAACATCACAATCTGAAACTCGGTTTAGGGTTCATAGGGTTTGGGTTTAGGGTTTAGGGTTTAGGATCTGACCCCGATGTAGGTTTGCAACTGCCTTTACATTTGCTTCTAGGAGGGGTTTCAGGTTTAGGGTTTAGGGAGAGGGTCAGGGGGCTTAGTTTAGTAGGTTATGAAAAACACTGCTGGCGGTAAGTCTGGTTGCAACACGCTTTATCACCGCTTTACTAGTTCCCCTTAGGCTTCAGGTAGCAGCCTCTATTTAGCTTGGATACCATTGCAACCCTAATGCTTTGCTGTCCTTTTCCACCTTGTCCTCCCCACCCTAACATGATGTATAGTCTAAACTCCTAGTACCCCTCTTAAAATCCTTTATAACACTTCGCCTTATAAGCCCCTATATAACCCCGCTTTAAGGGGTTTAGATTATAGCTCATATTATCATATGCCGTGCAACCTCAGCGTGCATGGCCCTCTCTTAGTAAGGACGCCGAAGCCCGGATCCTTAAGCTAGGGTTTAGGGCTTAGGGTTTAAGCCCCAAATCCTAGACCCCAGAACCTTGTAGCAGCCCTTTCGTGCCAAGGACCGTGCATGCAGAGGATCTACCGGGCGATCTGACCGGAACATCTCAGAGGTGATGCGATTTGGGTTAGGGGAATTTAGGGTCTAGGGCTTAGGATCTAAGGTTCCAGGCCATAGCTATGAACGGATTTCCATAAACAGTGGGGCCCAAAGAGGCCAGAGGATATTCCCTGGTCATAATTTAGGTTTCCCCTGCCTAGAAACAAATATCAAACACATGCTTTGCAAAACGTTTTCCTAGCTGCAAAAGTCCTTGGCTTGGAAGGAGTTAAGCTTTCTATCTAGCAGAGGATATGTATCCTAAAAGCTTACCAAGTCTTTGTTGTGTCTTTGGCCCAAAATTAAAGCAGCATAGGGCCCTGCACAAGTAGGATAAGGTCTCGAATCATAAGCGGAGACATGCATGCTCCCCTCAGGACTAGACAGACAAGCAAACCCCCCAATTGTAATTTCGGTTTAGGGTTTAGGGTCAGGATTCGAACTCATGTTGGGGCACCTTCCCCATAAAAAGGCACCCAGTACGTACACTCAAAATTAAGAGTGAACAACCGCGATGCGCACTCGCCAAAAAAAAAAACAAACGCCCTACCTCATGAAATCACAGGCCAGAGGTTTCGAGGGTATGAGGCTTCAAATTACGAGTGGGATGCAGTTCAGAGGATTTTTTGAAGAAACCCTTAGCAAGAACCCCTAGTCCCATTTCCGTTACAAAACTAGGATATCCCGCAGTAAGCTATAATTAAGGACCCCGCACCAGAAACATGCGAGTCCATGTTAGGGGCCCACGACTTCAACCTTGGACCTTAGGGTGTAAATGTTAAGGGTTTAGGCTTTAGGGTTTAGGGTTTAGGGTTTCCAAAAAATAGGGGTCTTGCAAGGAGGCTCATAATATATTGGGGTGTATATTGGGGTTCTCTATTTCAAGGAAGCTACTAAATGCACAGGCTGGGTCAGCAAAGAACGGTTTCGTGCTGGCTGGTATCAGAACCTAAACAACTACCCAGACTTTCCTAGTAATTACCCTTAATTGGGGATATAGGGCCCTGTATAGCGAGTACTTAGACCCTACTAGAGGGGTTTGATGGTCTAGGTAAACTCTGAATCCTCACAGCCAAGCCAGGAGTCAGTACCCAGAATCTTGCACACGCAACCCAAACTCCCAATCGGTCTAGGGTTTAGGGACCCTCCCGCGCTACCCCCCCTTACTGCTGTTCAGTCGGTTCTTTACCAAACTGCTGCTGCTGTCCATGGTCATCTCCCGCACGGCCCGCTGGGGCCCCACAATTGGCTGGGGTTTCACTTCAACGGGTCCCGTTTAGGATCTTTCTTGGTGGCTGTACAAAATATGCAAAAGCTTACAGTTTCGCACGGTTTCTCATTGGATATTCTACGTCAAGGGAACAAGGATTGTTTCAGTTGGCTCTTAGTTAGCTGTCTTTGCAGTTCATCTGTCTGTACGGGTGTAAGGCTTGAGGTCTTGATCCAAGAGTTGCTACGTGTGAGCCGATCCCTATCATCCTTTGTGGTTAGCAACCACCTGAACAAAAATCCAAATTTCTAAGCTCTGAAGAATCCTCAGACAACGTTTTCAATTAACTTGCTCATATTTGTTAGTGACATCTCCAAGGAATGTCTACAAATTACCATCAATTACCACACCTCCCCTCCGCGAGGCCTGAAAACGGTCCAGGAGGCGACCCCAGAATGATTTTCAAGAGCTTACGGAACTTCAAGAACCGTTTAGGGTTAAGGGTTTAGGGTAACCCAAACCCTGAAGAAAGACCCTCCCAAGCAATGAAACCCGAGCCCTGAAGAAAAAGCCCTCAGCGCTCCAAACCTTAAACCCTCTAGCCAAACTCCCAAACCCGAAGCCCCAAAGACCCTCAACTATAAACCCCAAACCCGAAATCCCTAGTCCTTTGAGCCCAAACCCTCAAAGACGATGTCAGCACCCTAAACCCTAAACCCTAAACCCTAAATCCAAAACCCTAAACCCAAAACCCTAAACAATCACCCTAAATCCCTAAACCCTAAACCGCCAGTCTCTCAGGCTGGAGCGGATGATCCCCGTGCCTGACGCAGAGCTGGATGCCCAGACCGGGTTTAGGTATTTAGGGTTTCGGGCTTTGGGGTTTAGGGCTTTAGGGTTTAGGGATTTGGAGTTTAGGGATTTAGGGTTTAAGGTCTGGGGGGTTTGGGGTTTTGGGGTTTTCCAAATGTTGGGGGGGTTGTTTTAGGGGATGTGAGGGCTACTGCTTATAATATACGAGGTTTACATTTCGTGAGCCACAAGAAGGCCCAATACAAGCAAAACGCCAACCCTGGACCCTAAACCCTAAAGCCTAAGACTTACCGACATTATTCCCCGTATCAACCTCACAGGATTCAGGGCATAATCGCCTCAAGAACACATCGAAGATGTGTTTAGGGCCTTACATTAAACCCCTAGGCCTCCCAAAATATGAGTGCTAGGCCGAACCTTACCTTACTTAGCCAATAGATAGAAGAGGTTTAACCTTTTTGTTCTTCCTTTCCGGGTCTTTATATTAAAGTTGAAACTTGTATAGCCCTGGTTATTGGGGAAAAGAGTTACATTTAGGGTAAGTTCTTTCCACTCCTGAAAAATTACGGTCAGACATGACAAGACGCCTTAACTTGCTGGCGGTGAGGAGAGAATGGAGGAATGGATCCCTGCTTCCCCACCAGAACCCACAATAACGCTAGAATAATTCCTAACCCTAAACCCTAAGGCTATAATCGCGCTATACCGCGATTCTCTAGCGTAAGATGCGTAACCTTCCCTGACTAGTATCTAATTTGGGGATACTATGGTACCCATTACAGAGTAAGATTCTATCCTCCTCTTGGGGGTCCTCCTCTTGGGGGTATAGTACCTTATATAAGGAATATAGTCTTACTAGGTTCAACCACCAAAAAACACTACTCATATAACCCTATGATATAGTAGCTTCCATTTTCTTCCATTATCCCCTATATAACCCCTATACAACCCTATAACCAAAAAGCACAACTCCCTAAAACCTAAACCCTAAACCCTAAACCGAGGTTTGTGCAGGGAGCTTTGACTGCCATTGGCTTGGAGGATCCGAGAAGGGCTGGCCTCAAGGAGCTCGGGCGCAGGGGGTAGGGCGGTTTGGGGTTGAGGGTTTGGGGTTGAGGGTTTGGGGTGGAGAGTTTGGGGTTGACGGTTGGGGGTTGAGGGGTGGGGTTGAGGGTTGCGGGTTTGGGAGTGGGGGTTTGGGGTTGAGAGTTTGGGGCTGAGGGTTTGGGATTGAGGGTGGAGGGCTTAGGATTAGTCATGGGGGTATGGGGGGTCTGCAAGAGTGTTTTTGCAGGTTGAGGTTCCTGGCGAACATACATGTTCGTGGTAAGTTGGCAAAATTTCGACCCCTAATTCAATCCCCACGACAAGGCGGGCCCTCATATTTAGAGCACCCAAAACAGGATCGCAGTTTTGACAACCCACCCCCCCTTAAACCCTAAACCTTAAACCCTAAACCTTCACCCCTAAACCCCAAACCCTAAACCGTAGTATGCATGCAGGCCTTCGCCTAGAAGCTGGAAGCTGGCGTTTGGGGTTTCAAGATCTGCCCAGAATTCCAAATAATGTTGATCCAATACAGCTAGGTATCCCAGTAGGGTTTAGGGAGATAATGGAAAAGAAAATGGAAACTACTATAATGGGGTTACATAGGGTTTAGGCTTTAGGGCCCCAGTAGTACCCTTCTTCCCTTTTTGGGGGGTCTCCTTATTGAAGCTGAATATCACGAAAAGGGGTACCCTTTATACTGTATTGGGGAACCTAGACAGTTTTGCCTAGGAGGCACAGGGGACTTAACAAGTTGCTGACGAAATGCGGTGTAAACAGTAACTTCAATTACAGGACTTTCTATCCTTCCACGTAAAACCTACTTAGTAAGTCCGCAGGCCTTGAAGTCTACCGCCTGGGGGTATGTTAAAGTACTGGGGCAGCAGGGTATAGAGATACCTTACCTTCACCGAACTAACATGGCACCTTATGCAGCGGGGAGCTGGCGTAATTTGAAGCTTGAGGCTGGGAGCTCAGAATCTGAGCAGTTGATTACTAACTACTATAATTTTCTGGGGTTATGTAGGGAATAATGGAAAAATGGAAGCTACTGTAGTGTAATAGGGTTTAATATCGGGTACTATAGGCTTGAACTTCATTCACGTTTTGCAACAGTGGGTTGCCCTCGAGCGCTATGGTTTGGAATCAGAACACGCGGGTTTGTAATTTTGGGGCTGCCATTCCGCGACATAATTAGGCTTCTAGCAGACACCTCCTTTACCTCAAAGCTGTTCCGTGGGGCATGCGTGTACTAAGGTAATGCATGTAGCGAAAGGCCGCGACAAAGGGGCATGTAACAGGGGATTTGAGGGTGTAGGCTCGCGACAAAACAGGGTTTTGATGCCCAGCCACCTCCATCAAAATACAACAGACAAACAAACAAACAAACAAACATGCATGCATGCATGCATGCATGCATGCATGCATGCATGCATGCATGCAGACATACATACATACATACATACATACATACATACATGCAAACAATACATGTAATGTATGCGCAGGATGTGTAGTATTACTCTTAGTAAATTTACAAGGTCAACTTTCTGGGGGGGAAGAAAGCTCTCCAACTATCTGGCAAGTGATTCTAACGCGGTGTTGGGGAGAAGTCGGCACAAGAGGATGTGTGTAGTCTGCATATATGCACGGCTAGCACTCTGATTCTGTGAGCCTCTTTCAGTTGACTTTCTGTCCAAAGTTGCCTGCATGCGCGTGACAAGCTCATGCTTTACGGACATGGGCCTGCCAGGCTTACCCGTGCCAGCTTAAATTGGGTTATATTGGGATAATGGAAAACAAAATGGAAACTACTATAATGGGGTTATATAGGGTATATATTGGGTTTATATTGGGGCTATATGGAAAATAAATAAAGTAAAAATCCTCAGCAACATCCAAACTGGGGTCGATATTTGCTGAACGACGCCCCTCGACCCTCAGCCTAAACAATAAAGTTCAATCAAGATGCTTTGGGAGATACAGGTATCTGCAAGATATGAACTTCATCTAATTTCTTATAAGAGCCTAACCTAAACCCTAAACTACTACGGAGAAAGGGTCCTATAAAGAACATACTTACAGTCAGCTAGGTTCTCCAGGGCATGAACTCCTTGATGACAACCTCATTCCGCCGGTCGAGCTGGAGCAAATCACTTGTACCGTTCACCTTAAACCCTATAAACCACGACACCCGGTTTAGCGTTTAGGGTTTGACCTAAAACCCCTTAACCCTATATAGCACTATCCCCGGTTTAGCGTTTAGGGTTTGGACCTTAAACCCCTTTTGCTTCGCAAGTACCATCATACTGTGGGAACCCAGAAGGATCTGTGAGCTGCTAGCTCAAGCCCTGTGCACAGCGTGCAGACGTAAAAGTGCTCGGGGTATAAATCCCTAAGCCCTAAACCCTAGACCCTAGACCCTACCTAAACTCCAAAATTAGGTAGAATAATAGCCCAAAACCCTAAATAATGGCCGTAAAGGCCATTATTCTACCTACTTTAAGGGTCCAGGTAAACCCTAAGAGGGCTCTTAGAATGTCCATGTCAGGTCCTTGCTTCTACGTCGGATACTTCCCCCACTCCGTAACAGTTGGATAATAGTTACATCATAAGTATCTTACTAGAAGTTCAGTAGGGAATACTGGAATATATAGGGTTGAAGGCTTAGGGTAGGGAATGCTGCAATATACTATACAGGGGTCATTTAGGGATCGTATTCCCTTATTCCCTGCTAACCACCAGTGAGTTATAAATGGCCTTTAATATGACCCCTAGTATAGACTGTTACTTGTTACTGGGTGGGGCAGTACCCAATGTTTCCATGGTTATGGGCAGCCACGCTTATTGAGGTATGAGAGAAGAATATAAGCCTTTCAGCATTTTGGGTAGATGAGGCCTGTTGATTTGATAGGCCCTGCGGAGATCGTGTGGCTGTATTCCCTGACCTCAAGAACAAAGCAGCGGATTCAAATTATGGCAAGAGGGCTAGGCCATGAATAACAGTTGTAGCTTGCATCAGCATGGCCTGCTTGCAGGATCTGGAGCACTTCGAGGCAGCATTGGTGGTGGCCAGTGACCGAGCAGTTGTACTTCATAGTTAACGTTATACGCGTTCAGGCCCCTGCGGCGGGGCGGGGCGCATGAGTCATGCAGACCAGGTGAATATGCAGTGGGCTGTGTGCACAGTGGAGCTGAACAATTTGGGTTCCTTACCCCGCAAGCATTACCTTTGGAGAGGTAAGTGTGAATTCAGTTTCGGACTCGCATCAGAGACAGGCTACATGCACCATTTTGAATTGCCATCACACCTCAAGACATCTTTATATTGCTCTTGAGTGCAGATTCCGTACGCTGCTTGATTGTCTCTTAGAGCATTTCAAGTGGGAATGGCCGTGGAGAGATTGTACATCATTTTATTTTATCAAGGGGTGTCCTCGGAATTTTGAGGCCGTCATGAGATGTTGTTTTGGCTCGTATGCTGCAAATGTTCCTTGTATGGGTGTACATGGAGCCTCACAGTTGACGGTCATCAAGAAGCAGTTTCTTTTGCCGTTGGTCAGGTCAGGTATCCTGGCAACAAGGGCTACGTGGCAATTATGTTGACGTTGAGGATGTGTCTTGCAGGGCCTTTCTGAGGTGTATGAGCAAGATTGAATTAGAGCTCCTAATGGTGTCCGTAAGTTAGGACTCCTTCTATTATACTCTATTATAGTAGTTTCCATTTTCTTTTCCATTATCCATATATATCCTCTATATACCCCTATATAACCCTAATAGGTTCTTGGACTTTTTTGGGTCCAGAGACAACGTCCCAAAGCTGGCTAGCAGTAGGACATCCTGTCGCAGAGCGTCTTCATCTTGCAGCTGGTACAAAATCGGTACACGCCGGCTTATGTCTGGACTAAACGAAGGGGTTTAGGATGGTTTAGGGTTTAGGGTCCATAACATGACCATGTTGTCTTCAGCGCTTTTCTGCTTCGGCAGAAAACAGCATGTTGCGAGCGGCTCGGCCTCTGTATCCCAGAAGGGTGCAGGGACCCCCATAGGCATCCCTTTGGGCCGAAACTATATGAGTTATAGTCTCAACTCCTTCTAGGGGGTTATATAGGGGATGGCATTCATAACCCCCACCCCTCGATTGATCTATCTCGATTATTGTCGGCCTTAGCCTTAGCTAGTCCTTGAACCCTCGTCGGTGAAGTTCAATAGTTCCCTGAGCCCTTACTATTCCCGTCCCAATTTAAAAGGCGTACTCAATGAGACAAGCGTATATAAATGCATATATCGCGAAAGGTCTTCACACATCTGGCGCACTGCGCCACATTGCTGGAGAAGCAGATGCCAGGACCTCCCTAGGGCTTAGTCCCTCTCAAATTTCCACATACCCCAGTCATGAACAGCTACTGCCGTACCATGTGCCCGCGGGGAATTTCGCTACTAGGGGGATAGAAGTGCTTTGTGAAGGAGATTCTGGGGCTCCCTCCAAAGCCCGGCACATTGTTTGATGTTTTGAGAGTTATGGTCTCCCCAAGTTGACATGCTATACAGACACTCACCTATAGCCCCCAGGCACTCTATGCACACTCGCGAACTTGTACTAAAATCATATGGCCCTGAAAGAAAGCCCCTCATGTTGATGCTGACCGCTGAAGCCCATGGCAATCAACAAATCCCAAGCTCTAAATAGGACTTTGCCGAAGTTCGTGTGATTGCAAGACAAATGCAGAAACGTGTGTGGATCAAATTCAGCCAAATGGATGTTGTTGAAATATCCCTAAACCCGGAACCCTAACCTAGGGATCATGAAGGGATCATTTGAGATTCCCCACCCAGGGTGCCTATAAGCAAACAGGTGAAAAGGAGATTTCGATGAATTTGGAAAGCCCATCACCTCCCCCCAAAACTGGGTTGCTGTTAAGGAACTTAAATTAAGTTACCAGAATGGGTCATATTATCACACCAATAATCGTGAATCAAGTGAAAAAGAAAATGGAACATGAAATGGAAACTGGTGTGATTATAGGGTTTAGGGGGCTCAAATTAAGTTACCATAATGGGTATATATGTATGCATAATATATATACATATATATATATATGCATAATATATATGTAGTAATTGCTGGTTTCCCCAAGATAGAAACTTAAATCAGATTTCGTAACAGCAACCCAGAAAATGATCCTGTAGTTGTTCTCATCCGTTCTTTCATTCTAAATCACCTATTACAGTATATTATGGTGTGTTATGATACATTACGGTATATTGTGGTATCCCTAAACCATACTCAGAACATTGCGGAGGAAATCCTCCTGTGATTGGGATCAACAGCCTCCTAGTTACCTGGCACTTGACCTTCGTAGGTCCCCATGCCCTGAGCCCTAAACCCTTTAGTCAGTCCCCCTTAAGTAGATAGAATATGGCTTTGGGTATACTAGTAATAAGATCCCCATATACCCATATTCTGTCTACTTAAGGGGACTATAAACCGCGTAGGATACAGACTTTGCTTGGCATGCATGTCCTATGCCTGGAGAACCAAAAGCCTGTCCTAAATCCTACATATTGGCTGCATTTTCTCTTCCATTTCACTCTAGGGCAATATTATTAGTGAATATTAAGGTCCCTATAGAAGGCTGCAAACCCCACACTATGACAACCCAGAACCCCAACCGTCAAAGACTGCTCAGGATTTAGGGTGGCAAGATGACCAAATGTGACTTCACACCCGAAAGCATGAGAGCCCCCACAAAACTAGACTTGGACGCCTTACACGAACCCTCTACAAGAACTACATAAGGTTCACAACAGTACTGCACAAACGCCTTCACGTCGCCCTGATAGTATCCGAAAATCTTAGCCCTGGACCTTAAGGGTTTAGAGTGTAGGGTAAAATCCCAAAATCTTAGCCCTATAGGCCCTACCTCAACCCCAAAAGTATGCAAAATAATAGCCCTAAACCCCTAAAAATAGCCTAAAGGGCCATAACTTTACATACTTTTGGGGTCCAGGTAGACCCCAAACCTTAGACAGGAATGGCCGACTGCATCCTCTCCGGAAAGATTGATCCTCGAGCCTAGCGGCAGGCACCGGGGTCCCTTCTAAGAATCCATCGGGTTTTGGGTTTAGGCTTTAGGGTTATATTGGGGATTATATAGGGGACTACCATAGGGGATATTAGGGGGGATACTAGGAGTTTAGACAATGCCTCATCTACTTTACGGCTCTTGGCTCGGCTTTTTTTCAACTTAGCGTTGATGTGGGGGTTCCCAAAATTGTCACGGGATGGTACTGATGAGGGACGCCTAATGCACACGCCCCACAGTAGCTCCGCCATTGCTAAAGCACCTGCAGCTTTCCACTGTAATACCCCTGCCACACAAAAACGGCTCAGCGGTTGTTGCAACAGTTCCGCCAGACTGTCAACATGTTTTTCTCTTCGCAGCCCTGGCTGATACATCCCCCACGCTGACCCAAGTTTAGGAACCCCATGTGCCGGGAGCTCTCAAATGCTCGTGTGATGATGCAGGCATCGCAGAGAGGATCAGGGATCGGCCGAAGAACTACATAAGAGCTGCTTTTCGCACAATTCACATGCCATCATAGAACCGTTTATGTTTGGCCTAGGCTAGAAGCAGTACTCAAGTGGTTCATGTACACATGTCTAACCGCGTGCTAGGGTGATATTTTAAGGTTACTCTGAAACTCACACATTGGATGGCATATCTCCAGTGCCCTGGATCGCAGTGCCCGCAGTGTCACAGAATCCTTACTTTGCCCGACATGACCATTTCACAGTTCCCAGAGACATCGTATGAAGTCTGCATATTCAAACCAAAGCCCAAACCCTAATCCTGTACCCCACTTAAGGGCTCATCAAAGCTAAGTTTGTGGTCCTCTTGTGCTTCTTGCAGTACACGGCTGCTCCAAAGCGGGCGAGGAACGCGTTGGCAGAGAAATCGAATGTGGGTTCTCACAGTAAGGGTTTCTACAAGACTGCGCAGCATCTATCTTGGCCATGGGTTCTGAGGTCAGGGGGGTTCTGAAAAGCTGTGGGTCCGTTTGTCTGTGTCCTGTTGAAACGGCTCCTCCGCTGTTAGGAGCGCTTTGCCTCAACTTCACTCCTTGGGACTTCGCTTGGACCTTAGGCCCTTAAGCCTCTGGGATTCCTTTATATTCCTATTATAAGTACCTCAGGGTCAACCCTGCGTAGGGGTCCTAAGTGCCACGTAGTTCAGAGAACCTCACAAAAGATCGACACCCTAAACCCTATTGAAGGGGGTCATATACGGGATTATATAGGNNGTTTGGGGTCTAAACTACTTAAAGGAATATGATAGGGGATAAAAAGCGGGATACGAGGAGCTTTGACACCAGCACCATATGCAAGGTTCTGCAATCAATGCTGATTAGGGTTCATAGGCTTAAGGTTTATGATATGCCCAGGGTCCTTAACGGAGTTCCTATGAGGTTCAACCGATTGTGCGCGACCCTGGACGCAGTTTGAAAGATAATCTCGGGCACCAAGTGTGTACAGAACTTCTCAAGGAAGGTAGCTTTGGGCTTCCTGTACGAACATCATCTTACGCCAGTATAGCTTCACAGTCTTCTGTCCCCTAGCCCTACGTTCGCCTGTTTTTTTTTTTTTTTTT